ATATATATAGGGCAGATTAGAATGAAAGACAAATAGGATAACACTTTTGACTTATTTTTTCTTTGTTTTTGCTTTTTTTTTTTTGTTTCTTTGCAGCGCTAGTTCAGCTGCTGCTTGAGTATACAATACATCTCTCTTTTTGTTTATATATACGTATATATATATATATATATTGGGTGGGGTGAGGCCACACCCAATTTCTAGTGTGTTAGTGTGTGTGAAAGTGTATATGTGTGTGTGTGCCTGCGTGCGTTTGCAGCTCGTGTACTAAAGGAATGCTCTTCATCAAACACAATCATAATTGTTTTATATCAAACTAGCTGACACACACACAGTACACCCACACACACTCTCATCATCTGTTCTGCTTTGTTGTTGTACCCGTCAACCCAAATAGAAATTATGACATAAATGTTGTGTTTGCTTCTTGAAAATAATGTTGACTTACTCGATTGATTTATCATACATATTTATCTCAATACATATATATATATTTATTAATAGTATCCATAATAGGAGACATATATCTATACAATCCTCACAATAATAATATATATATGTATATATATATAGGTTTTCATATGTCTAGCACCCCGCACATTTTGAAAATAAACCTCACTTAAACAGAAAGGACCTCACACAATAGATAGAGAAGGAGAAAAAACTGTTTATCCTGATTTATATATTTTTTTCCTTTTTTTTTTTAGTTTTTACTATTTTTTTTTGTTTTTCTTTTCTTATCTCTTTTTCCCTATTTGGTTTACATGATTAGAGCCCGCCCGAGGAGTTGGCAACCGCTTTAACTATTTACTTAGTAATTGTTTCCCTTTTCTTCTTCTTCTGCTTCAACTTAAACGGCTCCAATATCACTTTGGTATCTGGCGGTCAAGTAGTTGGCCGCCTCTGTCATTTGTTCCAGGCACTGGTACAGACCATTCAGATGTCGTTTGCAGCGGCGGGCCAGCTCGGTGGCCTTGTCGCTGGACTTTTGGCAGGCGGCATCGGCTATGTCGCTGCCATCGGTGCTTTGGGCATTGTCGCTCTTGTTGCCATCCGATTCCAGGCCTGAGTCGATCTCGTTCGACATATCGGAATCGGAATCGCTCAGATTGCTGACCGATGTGGTGGACATCATGGATGCTGTCGATGTCCTTCTCACATGACCTTTGACACCCGCAGAGCTTCGACTGCTGTTGCTGCTGCTGGTGTTGCTATTTGTGTTGGACTCAGTCTTGATCTCCTGCTGCTGCTGCTGTTGTTGTTGTTGCTGTTGCTCTGTTTCCAGCTGTGTGTTGTCTTCATCATCATCATCATCATCATCCTGATTGTTTGTCCAGAGTAAATCTTTCTTCAGTGAATTCAGCACGGTATACAAATTGAAGAGCTCTGAGGCGTTGAGGAACTCGTGCACATTCTTGGAATGTGCCGCACCACGTTTGCCCTCGGCACTGGAATTTTTTGTCAGCTGATTGGCGGTTGTATCCTTGCCCGTTGCAGGTATTATATCAGTGCTATCACCGATCTAGATATGGGGAGAATTCGGATAGAAAAGAAAGCAGCAAGCAGGCAAGCATACATTAGCTAAATTGTTTAAACATTCATTTGGAAATGAGTAGATTGAAGCAGCAGGAGGAGGAGTAGGAGGAGGTGAGCTGAGTTTACATTGATTTGGAACCCACCTGCCGATCCATGAGCCTGCATGGCACCAATATGGTATCATCCATGATGTTAACCGTCTTCACGAACTTCTCCATCACATTGATAATGCAGTCTTTGGAGAACTGCTGCTCATCGTGACGCACAATGCGACGCAGGCAGTTCCTGAAGTGAGAGAGAAGGAGTGAGAGGAAGATATAGTACAGATTTTATAGATAGCCCAAGTAATGATTGTATTCAGACCGGTTTTTTTTTTTGTACAGAACCGGTTCTAATAAGACACATTGAACAAATATAATTACTCCCAAAAATATATGGTAAATCCTCCATATAGAATTCAAGTCAAAAATCGATTTGGGAGCAAAAGACTTTGCTTGATATAATAAATGTGTAATAATATATACAAAATAAGCATACGCCCATATATAAGGCAATTATTTAAATATTTGAATTTTTCTTAACATTACAGGCTCTGGAAATGAGAGATAAATGTTAATGAAAGATGTTATATATCCTATATTCCATGTTCTACCTTCTATCAAACACAAAAACACAGACATAGAAATGAGCTATAAAATAACACTCTAGACTCAGCAATATATAAAGAGCTCCAAAATATATAACATATGTTCAAAGTCATATGCTTTATGGTTTCAAAGACGTCAGCATTAAAGCATTATTCATTTCGCAATACGCGCCTCTCTAGCCTGATCTAGCCCAAGCCCAAAAAAAAACCCGTCCGTCACACGTTTGCTTCTTGGACAATAGCCGCCAATTTGGCCATTCAATAGAAATAACCCGATCTGGCTTGGCTGGAAACGTGTCGTCGTTAAGTCTGGCCACTTGTTCTTTTTAACATTTCCGACATCAAATCAACATCATCTTCTGGTCGCCTGATAAATACCAAATTGATTTCAATCTATGCAAATCAGTTGCCAAATTCATTAAATACAAACTATATAAATAGAAGAGCAACAACAACAACAGCAGCAACAACAACAACAACAACAACAACAACAATAATAAAGGTATAAAAAACCTGTACGCTCTGAGCCGCTGATTTCTATTTCTGAATAGCAAGTGTTTTCGGCAATATATACATACATATATATGTATATACACATTTATAGCTATATGTAAATCATAAGTAACATAATTTATCAATTGACCTGTATGTCGTCTAATTGCTAATTGGCATTTTTTATATGATACGAATGAGCATGAGAAGGCATATCCCGACCCATTGGGGTTATTAAATAAAATGAAATATATTTTTGATACATTTACTTTCATTTCTTAAGTAAAACAAATGTCTTAACCTTCGGTTTACAGCAAATTATACATAATCATATAACATATAGAACATTAGAATAGAACCAATATTTAGTTTTAAAGCTCCATTTTTAATTTAAATAAATATNTATATATATATCTATACGTTTCAGTTTTCTCCCCATTCGTCTACCTGTTCTGCGGTTCAAGCGCTTTGAGCCACGTGTCTTGCGAAAGTCGTACATGCAAACTATTAGCCTTTCGAGTCTGGTTAATTCACTTCCATTCGTTCCATTTGTAGTGTAGAACCCGATTAACCCCACTCGTAGACGCCGGCTAGTCTCACCGCTCGCCGACGTCCGAAGTTCAGAACGCTTATCGTCTGGAGCTGGAGTTGTTCGCTCACTAGTTCGCCGCCTCCGATAACTCTCTGTAGATAGTGTCTCGCGTGGTAGACGCGTGATCGTCTGGGCTGGCCGCCTTGATAAATTTAGTTTTGGCTGTGCATATACATATATATATGCACTTAAGGCATTCCCCCAACTATTAAGGCCAGCCCCCCACCCCCAGTCATGTAATCGTCTAGACTATTGATAGCTTCTTGTGGGCATGGGACACGCCGCCGCCGCGTGCTCGACCACAAAGTCACATAGTGGCATAGTGTAAAGAGATGTATATTGCGTCGCTTGTGTCAAGGTTTTTTTCCACTGGTCATGCCGTACTTATTTCTCTCTCTCTATCTCTGTTTCTCAATATTTCTTTCTCTCTTTATATATATGCATAACTAGAAACTTTCCTATTATACTGCATGACTAATTGAGCTAATTGAATATGGCATTTGAATGAGCTTAACGTCATAAGAAAATCCCTTTAAAGTGCCTTACTTGATGCACTTAGAGTTACCCTGTAATTACTACTCTAATAACTCACTAGTTTCTCAATAGTTGCAAAATAAATTTTACCTACAGTTTTCTGAGTTATTAAACTAAATGCATATCAAATTTCAGTTGATTATCTTCCATTTTTGTTTTTGTTTTGCTTTTACGCTTGATTGCATTTGAGGCTTCCCTCATATGAGCTGTTCGACTAGAATGTTCTAATAACTGCACAGTTAGAACTATAAATAAATCTACATCTACTATGCCCCAACTCATTTTAAATTCAATAGTAATAAAATTTTTTATTTTTATTTTTATTAGTATTTTAAATTTGTTGATTTTATTAAACAAGTTTTCCACTACGTCAATCTAGTTTTACATAGATATACATATATTATAGAATAAACATTCTAGAACCTTTCAGTTCAGCGAAAGTTCAAACTCTTTGTTTACGTTTGCTGTAGGGTATTAAATGAGGCTATCAGAATTGTGTAAAGCGCGCAATTATCTTATCAATAAGTAGCGTCCGGTCGAATCGCCTCATTCATACATAATTACCTAGACAATGAATGAAATATTTGATTTACATTGCTCAGCAAAAGGGAAGAATAATTGAGATAGAAATAGAAATCAGGCGTTGTCCATTTTAGCAAATGTCGCATTAATTTAAAATAGAAAAAAAAATCATCAGGCGTCACATAATTGGCCACGCGCCAGCATCAAAAGCTCGCTTCAAGAGAGAGTGGAGCAGTGGCGTTATTGACCTTTCACAGCTGACGTATGTTGGGCGGCGAAAGAGTGGGTGGAGGGAGAGGGCGGTAATCGTACAACAAGTGCAGCTGCGCCCAATTATGCCGGCAGCAGAGGAAAAAGCCGCAGTCGAGGCGGCGTTCGATAAACACGCCATACGAAACGACCAATTGCAGCGAAGCACGGCGAACCTTTTTATCTGAGCGAATATCTGTAGCCGTTAGTGTAGTTGTTGTACTCTGGTAATTGTCTCCTATTCTCTCTCTATAGATTTTAATCGACTAGTCGTGTGGCCCATTAAGGCGCCAAAAACAAAAGCTTAGTGCCCATCCAGTGCACACCTGGCGGCAACACCTGCCTGTGAAGTGGGCCAAGCCAGGCACGCGACACGCGTCCAGTTTTTTTTCGTTTGCTGCGAAACATGCGCAGCAGCAGCGCGGCATACAACACAGAAATCAGCCGATTTTTTGCAGCTGGGCGAGCGGGCGCGGATGCCGACTCTGCGGCGAATATTTTGTGGCAAGAGAGCGCTCAAGCTCTCTTCAGCTGTACTCTTTGTTTTTATTTGAGAGCGAGTGTGTGTGTGTGTGAGAGAGAGGGAGGCAGTGAYGCGAGCTGTAACTGTACGATTGTTAGATAAAGAGACGCTACTCTTGCTGCAGCCTGTTTACTATTATTGTTGTTGTTGCTGTTGCTTTGCCAGCAATATTTGCAAAATTGAGCAACACTATTTTATTGTTTGGTTGTGTTTTTGTTGAAGCGAATTGACCAATATTTGTTTAATGTTGTTTTGCAGTGTGGTTGCCCCTGTTTGGCCTCGACTGACCTCCAATGATAATCGATAAATGAGCAAATCGATATTAATTATATTTCACTAGTTAACATGCGACAACGCGATCAGAAACAAATACAAATTCTAACTAAATTTGTGAGTTTGTCAAGGCGAAAGCAATTTGTACTACTTTGTACCACTATTCAGAGTAACGCTCACAAATGCCATCATCAGCAGCATATTATTAATGACTTGCATGTACCTATGAGTATATATTTATATGCCTACGTCAATCAGTCAAGTTTAAGAGTGGGGACAGTGAATCATGCCATTGCTTCTAATTGTTTTTATTTGTATTATTATTATTTCTCTCTTTTGTTGGTTTTGCCTTTAGTTTTATACCCTGCGGCGTCCGCCGATGGCTCATAGTTGAAACTTTTTGCATAGCGATAATGGCAATGAAGATGAGTAATAGTTGTTATCGATAGATGACATGCGATCGCCAAAAGCGCTGATTAGAGCAAAGGCGATAAAACAAAAATAAACACATTAAACGCCTCAGCTGCGGCGGTGGAAAGTGGAATGATGGTCGGAGGTATGCGATTTTATTAGTTTAAACAAACTTAAATAGCAGACAGACATACATACATACACTCTACTACACTACATACAAAACGAGCCCAGGTTGAAAACCCACACACATATACATACTCACACGCATAAGCATACACATATACATATATATTATGTACAGCTATAGCACGATTGTGTCATATTAGGCAGCATTGCCTTTACTTTTTTTCTTTCGTGTTTGAATGGCTGTCCGCATCGTACGATAAAATTTTTGTATCTTGTCGAAACGAAAGAGAAAACGCCGTGTGGACAAGGGGTGCGGTGCCGCTTGCAGTCAGAAAGAGAGGGAGTGAGAGAAAGAGCATGCAAAATGATGTGAGCGAAATTGTGTGAGCTGTGTTCCTCTCCTCTCCATTCCCTCCACCGGCCCCTGCCCCTTCCCATCCTTGTGCTATTATTTAGCAACTGCTTTAAATTGAATTTAAACACATTTTAACTAGAAACTCGCGCTTGCCCAGCCCAAAACTGGGCACACACATACGTACACACTCAGCAACATACAATCATATTCATATACGTACATACACTTGCTCGCAGAACTCTGCGTACACTTGCAAACAAACCCCTATTTCTATGTTTACATGTATATTGTATTTAATATAGAAGACTTAAGGCAATACTTCTTTTTGTATAACAATTTTCATCTATTTATTAACATAATTATGTTTTCATTTTAATAATAAAATGAAAAACATAATTATGTTAATAAATAAATGAAAATTGTTATACAAAAAGAAGTATTGCATTAAGTCTTCTATATTAAATACAATATACATGTAAACATAGAAATAGGGGTTTGTTTGCAAGTGTACGCAGAGTTCTGCGAGCAAGTGTATGTATGTAGAGATCTATGTGTGTTTATTTCACCCATAAGATTTTACTTACCGACTAGTCTCCAGCTTGGTGAGGTCTGTGTATCCGCTCATTGTGCTGTGTTTTATGAATTCTTTGTCTTCTTCTATTACCAAAATTGGTTAAGCAGACGGTTTTTTGGGGTTTCTTTATTTAAATGCTGACACCGCAAGTTAATAAAAAAATTTTCTTTTGCTCTGTGTATCACACATACACGCGCACTTTCACTGTGTCTATCGCATTGGGTTTATGTTTCTGTGACTGTGTGCGTGCGGGCCTTCAGCTGATGTTTTCTGTATTTGTATTTGTAGTTGAGAATTCTTTGCCTCTGGCTAGGCTAGGCAAGCAAATCTTTGTTGCTATTACGAAATCAGCAAACTTAGTTACAAGTAGTTATTAATTTATCGCAATCTGCCGACACGTTTAATATTTATTGAACTCGAATTCGTTTTGCGTTACTTTTGAGAAGTCGCTGCCGTTTTATGACAACAAGAAGGCTCTAAGCATACATAGACTGATGATAGTTGCTGATCAATTCTATTAATTGCTTTATTTATATATCAAAATTCTAAGTATATTATTTTGTGCTTGCTCGCGCACTGCTGCACCACGACAAACGACCGCTACGAACGAGTTTCGATTTCAAAATGATGTGAGCGGCGAGCAGTGTGGCCTCAATCGCTTAGCGTTCAAAAACTGAAAAGAAAACGATATAGTATCGAGTAGTTCAGGCAAGCATGGTATCGATAGTCATATAAGACCCTCACGCGATGTATCGTTCACAATTCTGATAAAAGCGCATTAATTTGAACTGAAATTTCTTATTGGTTTGCGTATCAGGTATCAGGTGTTTGTTTTGGCCAAGCTCAAAACCATTTTGAACTTTACAAAATACATCGAAATACGCTGGCACAGCTGTTGCTTGCAGTCAATTCCTCGTATTAGATGTTTAAAAATTATAAGAATGCGATTTCCACGTTTGTACAAAATCATTTCGGCCAAACTAAAATGACAATTTTTATTTCACTTGAAAAACAATTACTAATTATGAATTGCCGCCGACTTAATGACCCGCAGTGGCCGCCTTCGCAGCAATCTCATCCTCCTTAGCATGCAGGGCGATCAGCTCCTGTTTCTTTGTAGCAATACGCTCCTCACGTCGCTTGCGTGCTTCGCGCACCTTTTGACGACGGGCCTCAGCCTGGTCAGCGAGCATCTTGCTGCGCTGCTTCTCGGCCTTCTTCTTGTGAATGTATTCCATGAGGACGCGCTTGTTCTTGAACACATTACCCTTGCACTTCATGTACAGATCGTGGTACAGATGGCGATCGATCTTCTTGCTGTCGCGGTACTTCTTCAGCAAGCGACGCAGCACACGTTGACGCTGCATCCACAGCAGCTTAGTGGGCATACGAGCATTTGCTGTACCCTTGCGCTTACCAAAGCCGCAGTGACGACCCTTGCGACGCGCCTCGGTGTTCTTGCGCACACGGTAGCGGGAATGGACCACGACGGGCTTCTTGATGATCAGACCATCCTTGATCAGTTTGCGTATGTTCTGACCTGCAAGACAAAAAATCTCCATTTAGTATACTCTTATTCGCACATTTCCTGCATTTGGTATACTTACGCGAGTTTGTGTTGGCGATCTCATTAATTTCATTGGGATCCAACCAAACCTTCTTCTTGCCGCAACGCAGCACTGAGGCTGCGAGCCTCTTCTGGAGCTTTAGAGAACTGCAAGCAGAGAACACCGAAGAAAATTAGCTAAAACAGCATGCTATGATTTTGCATGCGTGTGTGTGTGTGTATATGTGAGCATGTGTGCATGAACGTGGTTTCGGTTCAATTTACACATTTTTGGATAACCCTGGGCAACTGCACTCATAACATGTTGCATGCCACATGTAATCCACAAGTTTTTGCACACTTTTCACACATTTTCGTACACAAAACACAGAAACTGCTGAAATTCGTCAATACCTCATGTCGACCCTTGCTCGTCGTGGCTGGGAAAGAAAGAAAAATTTGACAGACGGAAGTGACTGCCATTTTTGAGCATTTACCACAACAAAATGCTGACTGCTATATCACGCACCAATCACAATGGGCGATTAACAGTGTAATGTTGCATAACAGCCAAATGTTATATGAAATTTTATGTTAACCATCCCTGGTCAAACAGCTGATTATACGGCAGATAAAGTTCAATCACAATATTAATTAATAATTGTTGTTTTAAAGAGTTAGTTAAATATGCAACACACTTTAAGGCGATGTCTGACAATGGCGAAGACTGGTAGAGGGAGCTTGCGGCAACTGGCAACGCTGCCGCATGCACCCGAACAAAACAAAAATCAAACAAGTCGCAATCAGTTGCCCAGGTTGATGGACTTTCCGGAGATAATATGGCCATCGGCACTGAATACAATCAAAAATTGGATAACCGTACAGTTCATCATACGTCCATATTTTGATAGTGAATTTCAAATCAAGGACTTTGTATACGGCGCAAAACAGGCGCTGCAGGTGAACTCCCAAATTGTTGCTTCAATTACGCAGCAAATTTATTCATAAGTGCAATACTACTGTGAACTAATTATAGGTCGTGTCTAGCAAGTTGGTGGGCGGAGATCTGAGCCAGCTAAAAGATCTAGTGACACCCGAGGCCATAGCCGAACTGAAGCCCGTCGTGCAGAAACTGTCCATGACGCAGCGCAAACAACTGGAGATCCACGAGAGCGACATCTATTTGTCGTTTCCCTATCAAATCGGCATCATGTTCGATGATGCGAACGATAAGCTGCAAAAGCGTTGGGTCGAGATCACAATGGTGTTCCATGTGATGCGTGGCCTGACCGAAATGCGTGAACGAGGCGAGGAGATACCCTGGAATATGGGGTGAGCGAAAGGGTTAACAACTAGATCTCTCTCTGTTTCTATAAGCTCGGACTTTCTTGATCTACTTGTAGCACAATGCCGGAATATCAGGATCGAGTCTTCATTTGTAATTATCGCTTTAAAAAAGAGTTTACAGCCGGACAGCAATCAGACTGGACGATCAATGTGGCCAATCATTTCAGGGCCATTGATCTAATTAATGAATCTAAATAGCAGTTGGCTTCCTAACTCAGACTCTTAGAAATCGTGGAAAGCCCCATTGTATCAGATATAGTTTCCGGAAGTTTGCCTAATCACATTTTAGATGAATTTTGGAATAAAATTTGCATTGCAAGTGTTTAGGTATGAGCAAAACATAAAAAAAAAAAAAAACAAAACAAAAACCACTCAGATCATTTAAAGTTTTATCATTTTTTTTTGTATCTTAATATCTGGTTATTATATAGTTTAAATAACGAGTATGTGTTTAGATGACAATACAAATTGATTTGTTTTGATGTTCCTTTGTTTTTTTTGTTGTTTGTTATTTTTAATTGTTCTTAGTGTGCTTCTCGTACTTGGCCCTGTAGATGCCCTTTGAGTCGTACTTGTCGAGGAGCATGGTCCATTCCCTGGGCTTGTTAGTTCGCAGATAATTGATCACCTTGTTGGAATTGCGACGCTGCACATCGGTACACTTGGAGCACTCCGACTCGAGGGCATCGGGCAGCAGTTTCTTCAGCTCGCGTCCCTCGGCCGTGCATGGTCCATTCTCCATCAGGCACTTGATGTAGGCGTTTAAGATGCGATTATTGCTCAGCACTTCGTCCACATTGACATTGTCGAATTTGTTTGTGTATTTCTTCTCGGGTCTAGCCAGGGCGAGGGCGGCAAACACGCCCAACAGCAATATGACCAGTGATGCCTTCATCTTGTCTCAAGAGCTGTAGAACAGAGAGAGAGAGAGAGATGGAGGAAGAAAACGTCCCCGTTAAAATGTGAGTAATTGCAAAACAAATATATAAACAGCCATTCAAATACTATTTGTGGCAATATTATTTGTCCTAAATAAATAATCTGAGGCGTCATCTGGTCTGCTCTGTAAAAGGGGCTAGCAACACGCCAGAGTTTTGAGAATGAATCGTTCGATTCATTTCTGGGCTAGTTCGTTTCATGCATTATTAATGCCTCTTGGCATATATATGGCACATGCATACTAATTAATGATTTAGTTTTAGTAATAACAAAAGATTTCACAATTTTCGTACCACGTCACTTCAAGCTCTTTTATAAAGTGGATTAAGTTCGCTGTTCGCCCTCTTTTTTTTTTTTTTTTTTCATTTAGCTAAAACCACTTTTGTACCGTTGTTCGCAAGTGTTGCCAATCTGTTTACGCAATAGACCAGGCATCGATACCGAATGGACAGCTGCAATGCCTGCGTCGCTCGCCGCTGCTTCCCTCTCTCACCCTCAACGTCTTTTTTTTTAGCTGCTATTCAAAACGGATTATATTCGCTTTTCGTCTTGTTTTTTTTTTCGCTGCTACTTTTGTACTGTCGTTTTGTGCACGCAAGTGCTGCCAATCAATAGCAATTTACAGTTGCCAAAGCACAAAACAGCATAGCGCACGCGTAGCCTGCATCGCTCGCCCACTCAGTTACTCTCTCGATCGCTCGTTCGCTCACTCGCGCTCTTTCTCTCTTTGTCAAATAATGTTTGCTTACCGTTTTGTTGTTGTTGCTGCCGAACTGCGAGCTGTTGGTGGATTTTCTCTTGTGTCTGTTGCGTACGACAGCACAGCTTTGATTGCCAAGCTGTTAGCCTGTTTAGCCGACTTTTATAGTAAGGAGCTCGGTTGGCACGGCCAAAAGCTTTCGCACATTCGCTTGGCCACTCGACGAACGGTGGCGCTGCCGTCGGCGTCGGCCTGGGCGGCAGCCCCACCAGTCAAAGGTCTTTCGTGCAGCCAAATTGAACCGGATTTTTAGTTTTCACCCGAATTTTAAGCCAAGCAATTCGCCGCGTACTTGGGATGTACGCAAGCTTTACATAGTTTTTGTTTTTTTTTTTCTTCTTTTCTGGACTTGACGCCGACGCTGACGTCTTAAATGTAAATGTGGCCTCGCCCCCTCTCGTCTCTTCACCAACTCACCAACTCGCCACCTCGCCGCACTTTGCCGCTGTCACAGCTGTTTGTTTAGCTTGTTAGTGCTTTGCACGTTTCGCCCCGCGCGCCGAGACGAAATTCATAGGAAAAACATGCAAAGTACTTACGTGAAAAACTCAAAGGTGTTGTTGCTGTTGATCTTTTACGATCATGTTTATTATGTTGTAATCACTTTTATGCATTTCCCCCATTTCATTTACATTATCTGCAGCATTTAATCGAAGTATGTGTGCGCATGTGTGCGTGTGTGTGTGTGTGTGTTTTGTTTGTGTCTCTCTCTAGGCCCAGCCAGATTTCGAAAGCTCAACTGGTCTCGATTTTGTATCTTTGTTTTTATTTTTGCGGCAAATCGAATTGGGATTTACCGCCATAAACGAGGCGATGTCTTGCGCTCAGTTTCTGTTCAATTTGTTGCATGGTAGACTTTTCCACAGTCAAATGAGAGCTGATAATTGTTGTTATATATATTTTTTTTTTGTAAATAATTCTTTTTTATTTTTAAATTCTGTCAACTTGGGGTCTACAATAATGAGCCATTAAATTCATATACATATATTTATAATTCTAGAGCTAGACTTTATTATTATTTTTTTTATTTCTGTTTTTTGTATACTCACTTTTTAATGGGAATGACTTGAGCTTCTAGCACGAGTATCTCGATTGTCTTGTCTGCTTACCGTACAGTTCAATGGGTCAGTTCTACTTATCTACTTAAGGCTCGTGGCTTTTTAGCCCGCTGTCTCTAATGAAAGCCAATAAATCACTGTGATATAACTTTTATGTTAATTAGTGTGCAATTATGCAAAGTTCAGCTGATTTATCACATTATCATTAAATTTAACAATCTTTCATTTCATTTTGTGTGTCTCGTCTGGCGACTTACAAAATCATCTCTAGGGCGGTCCACAAATGTTGGGACAGATTTAACTGCCAGCAGTTAAGTGCCCTCAGGCTACAATATATATGTATGTATATATGTACATAGAGCATAATTTATACGGAAATCGCATACTTCTAGGAAAATGTTGAAATTAAACAAAAATTAAAAATTTACTGATCTCTAAAAGTGTTTATATGACATGTAGAAATTTATATAAAGCAAGGAGTACTTTATATATCTTATTTTGGCCAGAGGTCTACAAATTTATAAAGCGCAAAAAAATGTTCCTCCCAAACATAATAACTTACATTATATTATAATCTAAATGATTCTCTCCATTAAAATCTTTTAATATCTCTTATATAACCTTTCTTTTTAACAAATCTTAATTGGAGTAGACAAAACGCTTCTGGTTTGCTAAAAAGCTCTCTCTAAAGTACTTGTCGGTATACCAATTCGTCAAAATGAACAAGTGATCTCGGATCTGATCTTTCTAGATATACGTATACGTACATCTGTATATTTATATGTAAAATAGACGTATTTTTGTAATAAAAGTAAGTCATATATACCAAGATTTCCTGATCTTTCTAGCTCTCTTTGACATCATGACACAATTTTTGCCTATTTGTGAAATATATAATTATATATAAATTACATAGATATATGTACATATATATTTTTTTGCCTTTTCTTTCATTTTTACAATATATCCATATATGATCTTTCAAGATCTTTTACATTCTATTATGAGCAAAAATTTCCATACAAAGCAGATCGAAATTCACATTTCTCCAATTGGAAGCATTTTTCTGATCAGAAATCGACGCCTCACATTCTTTGAGAAAACATAATGCATATAAAGAAATATTGTTTTGACAATATTCTGCTCACGTTTCTCAACACTTGCATTACAAACACCCACACACACACACACAGACAGAGCTGTGAATATGTGTGTGTGTTTGTGAATCGTTGACCAATTGCCACATGGGTGTTACAGCTGTCATGATCGGTTTTAGCTTATGCAAATGGAAAGTACCCAGGCCAGAGGAAAGGTAAACAGTCGAGCTCATGGCAACGATGACAGCGTCCCAATCAAAAGTAGGCGTTGTAGGGGCGGGTGCTGGGGAAACGGGCAAGCAAGGGCTGCTTGCCTTGAAAGCCCAGCCAGTGGCAGCATGTGCAAAAGTTCAGGTTCAGGAAGGCAAGCCAAAACAGAAAACAAACAGAAAAACCGAAAACAGAAAGAGAGACACAAAACAGAGATAAACAAAAAACCTGACGCAGCAAAGTAGCAGCAGCAGCAGCAGCAGACAGAGCTTCAATAAAGGTAAATAAATCTGGGGACAGATCTTAAGTGTGATACGTGCGCAGGTTTTCATTGCCAAGCATGGCCAGGTGCAGGTGTGCGCAGGTGTGTGCGTGTCTATGACTTCACTGTAATCATGACTGAGCCTAGGAATCAAGCAAACTGCGACGCGCTCAAAGCCAAGTCATAACAAACCCCAGGGCCTTGAGGGCATCGCTTCCCTCTGGCCATGTCAATCCGCCGCGATTTGACACAAAAGGTGAAATGAGGGGCGAATTCATGTTGTGCAATTACGCATGTCAGCATTATCATTAGCATTATCATTGTTATTGTTATTCTGTTAATTGGCGCCGCTGATAAGCGCAGGCCATGCGGAGGTGTGATGCGCGTTGCTTAAATCTAAATACAACTAAACAGAAACTAAAGCTCTGGCAAACTGAGGCGTATCTATAAGATACAAATATGTGCGAATGCGGCTATTTGAGAGCCAGCTCAGTGGTCAGCTTGGGCTCATGCTGCGGCCTCGGATTCAATATCGTCTCCAGCTGCACAACGGGTGCGCCGCACAGCTTGCGGTAGAGTTCGCCGTAGCTGCGACTCCTGCTGCAGCGCCTGGCCAAGCTGAGCACGCACCACAGCGCGCAGAGCAGCTGCAAGGCCATCAGATAGGGCTGCAGATGCGGCAGCCAGTGGACATTGAAGCGTATTATGTAGAGCACATGAGCTGGTAGGTGATCCATGTCCTGGATAGAGTATAGAGTAGAGAGTTAAAGCAATGCCTGGACTGAGACACTAACAGCTAGCAGAACACTTACGAACTCGTACCAGAAGACGGGCACAATCATGTTGCTCAGCCTGGTCAGCTTGCGGCTGTAGCTGCTGAAGTCCGGCAGCGGGGTGTTGGACTGGAAGCGATACTTCTCATTGATGGGTATGCCCGTGTTGGGCTCCAGCAGTATGAAGGGCTCATGCTCATCGGCATTGGGACTGAGGCCCTCGAAGTGCTGGCGCCAATCGTAGCTGGAGCCATAGAAATGTGGCATGGAGAAGGCGGAGGGAGCATCATCTATGCAGGATACAGAGAGAGAGAGAGAGAGAGAGATGATTGAGACATGAGCCTCTGCGAGTGCCTCTAGGTGACTCATCCAGCACTTACTTATCACACACTTGGACACATCGAACATGCCGCGCGGCAGCTTCACGCCGTAGGTGCTATCCATGCACTTGGGCGCCGTCTCGTTGGCCTGGAGCAGCGTAAAGCGATACGAGTTCATGCCATCGTGCTCCTGATCTCGCTGATAGCGCAGGGGTAGCACACGGCACGACTCCGTGGCTAAGATGCTAAGCGATGAATTCCGTTCCAGGAAGAGCGGATAGAGGGAGTTGTCCAATGTGTCCGCCACATTGATGGGACAGCTGTCGCCCAGATTTCGGGGATTGTCCTTCACACGCTCCTGGATGCGCAGCTCGCCATTGAGATTCTGTATGCGGAAGAAGTTCTCCATGCCCACCTCAGTGCCAATGTTCACCGTGTAGATCTCCTCCTTCTCTTTGAGAGCCTGCCAAAGGATGAGGTGTGAGCTAGATACTAGGAATACTCAATCAAACCACTCACATTGTAGAGCGTGCCACAGTTGGTGGCCAGCGGCAACATTTTGCCAAAAAGTTCCAGCGCGGGACGAGTGAACTCCCACAGGAAATAGTAGATGCTGCCGGTCATAAACACCTGCTCGCCCAGGGTCAGCGCATTGAAGCCCATCGAGGTGAAGGGTATCTGGCAGTACTTGGCAGCGGCGCCCAGCAGGAAGCTATTGAACTGCACAATCGTCTTGTTGAGGATGTCCGGCGAGACGCTCTCCTCGGGCACGAACTCAATGTGGCGATAGCGATGCTTGCGATAGGTCACACTGCTCGCGGTGCGATTGAGGATGTCGTTGTAGCCGACGATCTTATAGACAATCGGGCCGATCTGTTGCAGCTTGATCCTGGCATCGCGTCCACTCAGAAACTCTGGTCCATTGGTCACATTGAACAGGTAGCTCTTCAGCTTGCCAAACGGCGAGTTCACCCAGCTGTCCATGGTGGGCATCTCTTCCCGGAAACGCACCTGCTCCTGGGCCATGGCATACTGATAGTTGACGCCGCACGAGATCACAAACAAATAGATATTCAACAGGCCGAACAATGCAATTGCCACAATTTTCAGCCAGAAACAAGTTGGGCCCATGGCTGACGATGATGCACTGCCTCCACTGGGACGGGAGACTGAAGCTGGTGGAGCTGTGGGATTGGAATGTTGTGCGTCTGCGCTCTTCAAATCACGCGATTCGTTTGATTTCAACAACTAAACGCCGTTTCGAGTCTCCATTGAATTTTAAATACAAATTTGTATTTTTTTTCTGTTGCTTTACAGAATCAGTCTTATCGCGGGGTCCCTTCCTCATCTTAGGCCTGTTTGAAAACGAAACGAAACGCAACTAAACTAAAAATATGATTACAAATAAAAGCAAATCAAGTAAAAGTGAAGAAAATTTGAGAGATTCGCTGGACTACGCAGATACCCTATGTTAGTAGAATTTTTGTAGAGCTAAGTTTTGGAAAAGAATCTATGGCAGAACTTATGGACTGATGGTTCCATTTGAGTATATCGAGTGTGCATAGTCGTTGTATAGGCAGGATTACGCTTTAGGCCTGGCTTATATGGAAGTCAAAAATTTGAGATCTTTAATTATTAATGTAGCATTGACATTATTTAAGTTTAAGCAGAATATTTAGATTGGGAACCGAAATAAGTTACTTAAATGATCTAGAAATTGAGAAAGCTTAAAAAGAATACAATTTGTGTTTTAGAGGATTGTATAAGTCTACAATAAAGCCTTGAGGACTTTAATTGCATCCTGAATATTATTTTAAGATACGCTCCTACTCTATATATATATATAGGTATTATAAGAAGTTTGCTTAGGATAAGTAAGATATATAAAAGTATAAATAATACAGGTCTAAGGTATATAAGAGTTTGTATACCACAGCTTTAAACTTTAATAAGTATAAGTATATATATGTATATGTATAACTGATAATATTATATATATAATAGTGCTGCAACAAACATCCTAGGGATTCATAAACAGATTTGCTATCAAATTTAATTTCATTTAGCTTCAACTACGTATAGAACGAAATCACTTTCTAATTGCTTTTAGTTTCTATAGATTTATGCTAAACGATTCTAATTTTCCTACATTAAACCAATCATTAGAGCTCAGCCGGCTACAGGGTATCACTATAGCAGCGAGGCTATCAGTTGGCAAAGGCCAAACACGCTCTGCTGGCGGCTGTTGTCGCAATTGCAGGAGATAAGCCCTCAACTTGTGACCCGAGAAAGATCGAATTTACGCAAATCGTAATTTAAATTTATGTTCGTTTAGATTAATGTTTTATGGAACTGCTCCCAATTGGCATCTGCAGCCATCTGCGGCCAGTCAGCCGGTCAGCCGTTCAGTCAGTGCACCTGGCCAGGGGGCGTTCCAAAATGCATATTTTCAGCAAGATTCAAGATTTGTGTTTGCCATTGCCAATGGCTGATAACCGAGATCTGCTGATGTGATCAGCAGATGCTTCAAATCAGAGGCGGCATCAGCTTCGCTCCCATTGCGAGCAAACAGCTGAATGAGTGAATGAGCCGAGGTGCTGTCTTATCAGTGACAGACAGACCAATCGCCAGACCAATTTTATCAGCTCTCGCGAACAGTGGATCGCACTTGCCCTCGGGCATCATGTCTGGCCTATCGCAGTGAACTCTAATTGCGATGACACTCTGCGCTCGCCTTTGCATTCGCATTCGCATACATTTTAGCTGCTTCGTCTGTCCGATTTGATTCGCCAATAGAGATCCGGTATGCCGTGTGAAATACATCTCGACTAATGAGCGGACAGGCACCTCGGTTACTTAAGAGTCTTGCACCTCACAAGTGACAAAATATGTTAACCTGACATAAATCTTCCAATTTATTACCAATTAAATTTGGACTGTGGCAAACAAGTAGAGCTGACAGTTAGAATATACCCTGGAAATTGAAATTTAGTGAATATGATAGAGACTTTGTGCTGCATGAGTGAATTTGATTGACTTATTGAAAAAAAAAATAAAAATAAAATATATATGTTATACTAACTGTAAAATTCGCAAATTTAAATTGTTAAAATATATATTGATATTTTCTATTAATTTTTTAAATATGTTGAATATAATTTTTCGAATATTTTCTCTATCTTTTTATATATCACTATCAATTTTTTTGTTTTTAATTTTATATATTTTTTGTTTAAGATTTCAGTAAATATATTTTGTATATTATTTTAAGATTGTAGTCCATTGGGATTTTCTTTGTAGCGTTAAGCTCCCTGTATAATTTAAATGAAATTTAATTGAGAATCAGTTCAATTCAATGGAAATTTCAATTTCCCCACTGAGCACGTTGGCTTTGTGTTTATTATTCACTTTCATTTCAGCATGATTTGTTTTATAGCGTTTGCTCAGCATGAATTTCAAATTAATAAATTTTAATTTGTGCTCTGATAAGTTAGCTGCAAGGCCCATGATTCGGTGCAGCTGTACCTAATTATAATCTGTTTTTGAGTCGAACTATAAGAACTGCTCTAGATGATATGGAATTGTAGAATAATCTGTACTAAATTGCCATATTAAATTAAATAGCGAAATTAGCACCATTTTATTGAGGGATATTTGTAGATAAACAATGACTTATATATTCCATATATCATTGATTCATCGGACTACAAAGCTGATAGCCTGGCACCTTGGCAAAGTTTCTTAACCCTAATGGACGCAATTGAAAACCCCTATTTAAACAGACATTAATAAGCATTTCGATGCTGGCTGTACATCTAAATAGAATAGCTATTATAAAGTAGTCACATATCATCGTTAGAACAATAACAAACTGATTTATGGCAAAGCCTAAACCAAATCGAATCCCAATTCAATTCCAAGCCCATCAAAACCTTCCTCAAAAGGCAAGAAATATTCATTATGTATGTATTTGTTTTTTTAAGTGCCTAATTAAAATAATAGCGTAATTTATTGTACACATTAGAGTCATATATATTATACAGATATAGATACGATACACACACATATACACATACAACATATATGCATACACAGATATATATATATATAAATATACATATATTCAACTGCTAGCATTAGGTAGAACAATGGCCAATTTCCTGGGCCACGTTCCCGGAACC